TACCATTTTTTGGTATATATGGATTAGATGGATGATTAGATAAGATGGTTAGACTCAATGTCATCTTAGAACAACTCCTCACCATATAAACATAAGAATAAGTACAGCAACCGTGTGTACTCCAATGTAGCTGAAAGATTGCCTCGCTACTCGAATCGTCTGAAATGAAAACAAGGATTTTTTTTTCAGGATTAAAGTGAATGTAATGATGAGCATGCGCAATCAGCTATTCCTTAAAGGGTTTTTACAAAACTTACGAGTATACATAGAGGAATCGGGATCAGCGTCATCGTCCTAGAAATCGACTCGTTATAATCTGAATACGCCTGATGAGAACAAAATTAATGAATCTTTAACATTAAAATTCTTCATCGATGATTCTCTAGTAACTGTACTAGAATGATAAAAAAAAAACATACCGTGGTTTTTCGACTATGCACAGAAAACATTTGATAAGCTAACTTGGCACGATATTCCATGTATATCTGGGTAAGATAAAAAAATAAATTAATAAAATAACGAGTGAAAACATCTAACATGTTTATTATATCGAAAGTCAAGTATTAACACAAACAAGCAATTGTATTAATTATTAGTTCTTGAAAATCTGTTGCAGTATTAAGCTATAATTTATCTTAGGTCAATAACAGTTAAACCATAAGACATTTAGAATTTACAGAAATGTATGCTGTATATGAATGTTTATGAGGCTTGACCTTTAGTCATAAGAAGTTGAAACTACAAAAGAGATTACTCCATCAACTAATTTAGAGGCGCACTTGCTTTTGTAAAAGAAATTTTAAAAATGATATGAGTGTAAAATAGTGTGGTAACCGACCTCTGGTTGAAGGTTGTTACACTTCACAATAAAGGCATGTTTCACCCAATCAATAAGAATTTCAACCAACACCACAATGCAGGCACTTGGAAACCATTTTGAAAAAAGATCTACAAAAAAAAAATTGTTTTAAGTACAGATATAATAATAATAATTAACCTTGTAGTAAAGGACTTTTATATCATTTAGATATCCCAAAGTATGCTGAATATTTGTACTGTATTTATTTAATTGATGAGAAGTGTTTTTATAGAGGCGTTTATTCGAGGGAAGCGTTTTGAGGGAGGCGCTTATTTTACTTTATTTTAGTGTTTTTATTTTCTTAATACATACGCATATACTTGAATAAATGCCCCTTAAAAATCAATCAATCAGTCAGTCAGTCAGTCAGTCAGTCAGTCAGTCAGTCAGTCAGTCAGTCAACCAACCTAGGTACACTAAATGTGGCGAACGTACGACATAAATTTGAAATTGCTGATTATCCACTTTCAATTAAAGTAAATAAATATATATACCTGGCCAAGGCCCTAATTATAACATTTTCCAACATCAAAATGATACATATCAATCAATCAATCAATCAACTTAATTCATATTTTTAAATTTCGTACTAATTGTAGGTCCTATACTGTATATCTCAATTCAGTCCATCTCAATCCATCAATGCACCAATCAAGTAATCAATCAATTAACCAACCAACCAACCAATCAATCAATTAATTAGTCATTCAATCAACCCCGCAATCAACTAAATTAATCATACACAAAATAAACCAACTGTTACTCTTATTGAGGGTATATGGCATTTTATTCTTACCAAGATCCCAGGAAACTTCTGTCATATTTAAGAGGACAATCATTGGAAGGATGACCACAAAGATGTTACGTTCACGTATATCGGCACACGCTACCTCAAACAAATTTTCTTTCTTTAGTTTCTTGAATGCATTTCCTTTCAATTCTGTAACCTGAATATAAGTGTACTAATAGTAAGTCACAGCAATAACAATAATAACATAAGCAATAATAATAGCATATGAGCTACAATGATGATACTGAAAATAAAAAATGAATATAATAATGATAATGATGATGATGGGGCAGGGATCCCCCCTCGGGGAGAGCTTCCCACGTCGAGGAGAAAAAAAAGGGGTTTTCTACCTATTATTAGACTTTATCTATCTATAAAATCGAATAAATAAACCTTTAATACCCCTAAATTGTCATATTTTTCGAGGAGCACTTTTGAAACATTTTAGCCACGCCCGACCACGCCCCTAAATTGTCATATTTTTTTGAGGATCACTTTCGAAACATTTTAGCCACGCCCGACCACGTCCACCTTGCGCTCATAGGGGAAATCAGTCACCCGTCGGGGACCTCGTCCTCACCTTCTCCGTCGGGCAAATCCTGGCGCCACCCCTGTGATGGGGATTGGTTATGACGATGATCAATGGCGATGTTATTGATTACAAATTTTAAGAACAATAAGATAATAACAGTATTAATAATCCTGATTGCTTCTCTGTGACGTACCCGGTAACTGTATTATCAAATAGAAAAAAGGAACAGTCCGAGTATATTGTAGCGTGGCCGTCGAAAAGATGTACAAAAGACACTGATTAGACCACCACTCCACAATCAATATTTAATATAGACCTACAGTATTTATTAAATAATAAAAGCAGGGACTTGCCTTACTCGCCCTTAAAATTGAAAAGAATGCCCTAGAGGTATTAGGGCTATTGAATGATACGTTCAAAGTTGTGGCTTCCAGTATGACAACAACTGCGTGGCCAACTGACAAAATACTTCAGAAAAAGTAATATTTTTTTGGAAACATGTCCACAATAAATCATCAACGTTTTATTTGGACAAACCAGAAGTGGCGTAAAAGAGCACAATGTGCTCGACGGCCTAAGTTTAAGAAAATTAATTGTATTTTTATAGTTTCTGTGCAATTTTATTGGTGAATTCCTTAACTTCAAAAATAAATTTTAATTATTAACGTATATCAATTTTATTTTATATAAACTTCCTGTCTCTTTGGGATAATATGTAGGCCTACTTTTTGCAAAATTTTAAATTTTATCTGCCTGCAACTAACTCTGCTACCTGCAACCGTAGAAGAATTTACCTCTTTCTACAGCAACAGACTAAAATAGGCCTATGTTAATCATCGGCAGATGCATCTCTTTGTAACTAGCCTACTGGTGAAGAAATGATCACTTTCATATACAGTATCTTTCCTTTTCGATAACATTTAATACAATACGGAATGGACGAGTGCTTGTCGCACTATCAAAAAAGGATACACATGGCAAATATGGCGATAACTGTGTGGATAAATACTGCAGGTAATGCCCGTTTCTTTTTGTCTGGATGTACTGCCGTCCAAAAAAGTACGTCTAATGTGTCCTGTCCTAACAACGTGAACAAACGATCTGCTACCTGGACAGATATAATTCAGATGATATTTATTGTTTGTGGGAAAAACATTAAAAGTTAATTATACATTTCTAATGAGCTACACATGAACCTATCTTTTACATCAGTTTCCGCCAATTTAAAGACTTTTAATTTTTTTTAAATCCTTAAGTTTAATATCCATCTGAAAGTGTTTGATAATAGGCCTGTATCCGATTAATTGATGAGCAGAATATTTTCTCGTTCCAGTATTACTAAAAAAAAGTTACAGTGAAACTTAAATTTAAAAACTAGCAATTATTATTTCTTATGTGTATTTAGCTTAACACCGAGCATAGTTAAGATCTTTCTGGTCTCTTCTTATGGGCTCTTCTTATGGGCTTACTTAGAGCATTTTTAAGCCACGATAATCGTTAAAGTTGGGATGAAACATATTGATATGAAATGAAAATATTTTTACATTGATATTATGCATTTTTATAGAGCAACGTGACTCGAATTTAAGGGTACTAAGAAGAAGGCTATCGCTGACGTGATCATTTCATTAAGAAGAGAAGAGGTGTTCTATAGGACCACAGGGCTATAAGATAGCTCCAGAGGAGAAATATTTGAACTGGCTTGCAATAGATACCATACCTCTAGCATTCCATACAGGATAAATAAGCTAATCTTAGCTCGTTTACGAATAAAATGGTATAACATCGATATGTCGACGTAGCAGAGGAGCCAATAACTAGCAACCACAACAACGCCTTTAAGCAGATAGCAAACCTGGACAGGTTCTAGAACTCGTCCACCCCTGAAAGGGAATAATTGCTTTTTAATTGCCTCTTTAAATATATATATTTTTAAGTTTAATGGTCAATAAAAATAAAATTAATTAAGGTAGCCGGCTGTTCATTTTTTGAGCATTGTATTAAATATATTTTTACACAATCAAAGTATATACCGGTATTTACCCTGATGCTTTTAAAATGAATATTTATACTTTTTTGTGGAATATTTATACTTTTCATTCCTGATGATGACATAATTAATGTCGAAATATTGAATCCCAACACGATGGCGTGTATTTCAATACTTGGAGTATGTATTATACTTTCTTGTGGAATTGTGTTGTTCAATTCAAAATACAAAACATTTATTTTATCCAAAAGCCAAAATTACACGTTTAATTGTGGTATTATAGAACTAATACAGGTCACTTGAATATTGCCTATTCCTCAATACAGGCCATAAACACAAGAGATAGTCCAATAAAGGTCTCTTACCTTACCAATCTATAAGGTCCAATTATTATTAATTTCAATACAGCGATAACAACACGGATTGGTAGAATTGTAAAAACGAACAGAAATATATCCATAGATAACAGCAACGCATAAAAACCCATCTGTTAATATAAAATTGATTAATGTATTAACTTATAATTTACTGAATTAAGACATACTGTAGTCAATACGATTGGTTTATTATCGTAGGTTATATTCTATTAATGACGGACCTAGTAATCCAATACGTCAACAGTATCATACCATCGTCGCCAATTCATAATTTATTATTTTCATAATCATCGTCATCTTTTGTATCATAATTATTCTGTATAATCACCAATCATAATTATTGTCATTATTATCGCCGTCGTTATCGTCAACATCATCGTTATCGTCATCATCATTATTGTCGTCATCATCATCAATATCATCATTGTCATTATCAATATCACCATCTTCGTCAACATCCACATCAACGTCGAGCCATATTCATCTTCATAATCTATCACAATCATAGAAAGATTATTTGCAGGTTGAATCTGGGGTGCGTCAATTTGAAGGGGAGAAAAAAAGCGACACCCGACCACGCCCACATTTTTTTTCGTCGGGAAATCGCCACCCCACCTCCCCCACCAAAAAAAATCCTGGCGCCACCACTGGGTTGAATAACTCTCCTAGTTAGCTGAGATTTACAATTGTGCAAATGTGTAACGTCACTTACTTTTTCTAACTGCCAAGGAACCTTGAAGAATGAAATCAAATTTCTTGTCCTTTGATCATATTTGAGTCTGTCATTTTCTATACGGGATGACCCCTCGTCAACATCGCCGTTTAAGAACTTGTACAGAGATAATTCTTCATAAAATACAGTGGAAGAAACTAATTCATTAAAGATTAAAAAGTGCTTTTTTTCAAACATAATTTAATTTCGGGCCCCTTCTTCAATTTCCTTTTGCTATAAAACCTGACTCTGATTTTAGAAATTAGGTCGGTTTGGCCAAGGACGTTTTAACTGTAGCGTTGTACAGTTTTAACTCCTTTGACTGGACACTTACAGCAAGCTTTGGGCCTATCTGACAGTATTTAATATAAATTTATTCATATGCACTTTTTAAATACATAAATATTTCCAGATTTTGTATCACAAAACGTCAGTCTGTATACAATACTTAAAAAATGAAAATAGTACCTGACTCAATTAACCAACAACAGGCCTATGAACAGTTATGAATACGGTATTGAAAATATTATTTCTCTTGAAACTTACTGAAATGACCATGCTCTGTTATAAATTTTGTTGTCCCCAATTCAGGATCCGTGAGGTTGATTTCATCCATATCTACCGCGGAGTGGCACATCGCCTGCCGCCTGCTGTTTCGCTGGTTCAATTGGAAAGAATTTAATTGCTCTACTACGTATTCATCTCTATTTTATATGCATTTTTTTAATTAATTTATTTAAGTGTGCATTCAACCGGTAACGTGAATTGGTTGTAATTTTCACTGGTGAAACAAAGCATCTGTCGAGCTCTGTTCATTAAATATCCTCAAATCACAGCCACACAATAATACCGTAATATAAATAATTGTAAGAAGAAAACCTATTAGGGGACACCTTATAAAAAAATGTTCCCTAAATAGGAGTACCCCTATTCAGGGATTACTAAACGAGAATGTGAAATTGTCCCCTAAATAGTTTTTTGCATGCTTTCATACATTCTTTACCATTTTATTTTTAAGTTACAGTAGAATATTAATTAATTTATAGCAATAATTTGCAATGCAAATACAATTCATTTATAATATGATATCAGCAATGTAATTAAAACAACAATGGTTTTATATGTTCCTAATATTATTTGATAGACATAGATAATTCTATCCTTGGCAGGACATGATGCAATGTAATGACCAAATATTCTTTTTTTTAACTTTAGAATTAAGGGTGCATGTTGAATTAGAATCCTTTATGAAAGTACAGTACACAAAAAACAAAGAAAAAGGAATACCCAAGCTTAAAGGTCATAATTGACAAGATTGGTTTATAAAAAGTAACACATGCAGAAGGTGTTCACTCTAATTTTGATACTGCAATAGTAATTGACTGAAAAACAATTAAGTGTCCCCTGTAATAGGGGTTATTTGACCACTTGGCACACTCCAAAATTGTCCCATCCCAGGCCCCTTAAAAGGGGTGTCTCCTAATAGAGGTTGGCCATAGTGCTAAAAGATATATTTCACTTCATTTCACAGAAAAGTGTCCCATAATAGGGATGTCCCTTAAATAGGGTGACCCATTATACACATCTAGATGTGTATAAGAGAGGGGGGGGGGGGGGGTGTTGTACTGTATTTTGATTTTCTATAAGCATTCTTTGTTATGACATTCGCCGTGAAGTGGCCGATCCAGAAATTTGAAATAGAGGCACCCAAAAAGGATATTTTTAAATGAAATTGTGTCCTAACCACCTCAGGCCCATCATGGTTGGGACTGAATTTTGAAATTTTATGGATATGGCACCTTCAGATGGCCAGAAATGCCACTTTCAGACCTAAATTTTAAAATATTTCACTTTTTCTTTTGGCTTCAAATTTTCAAAAATTTAGTGGGAGTATGGGCCGGCTTCCCCACCTCCTGAATCTGTCTATGCCTTGTATTCGTATAGGTCTAGGTTCTTGTTCCCTCTTAATTTCATTAATATTTTACTAAAAGCAGTTATAAATAATTAGTTCAACACATCTCCTAAATGTTATTGGTTTTGGTTTCTCCCACCCCCCTCACCCCACTCCCAATTTTACAGTATCCTTTTCTAGGATAGTTTAGGTTAATGGTGGCTCAATACATGATGGCTATGCAATATAACAAATTTAACTAAATGACATACAGTATGTAGTGCCATATTTAAGGGCGCACTACAAGTACTCCACTACCAGAAATTTGCTCAATCAGTAAAAATTCAAATCACAACACCTTACTTCCCCCAGCTAGCACCACTTTGCTTAACCTTCCTTCCTCACCCTCCTTGTCAATACTCCAAGATATGCTACTGATTAAATGTCAGAACAAAACATAATATGTTTAATTTACACAATGGAATAATTTTATTGCCATACAAAGAACCATTTAAACATTTTTGCCACCACAATTCTCGTATCAGAATGAATTTGGCAAGGCATAAGTGATCATAAATGACCATATATAAGCTGAATATAATACAACCAGTTTAATCAATAATAAATTTATTAATCTTAAAATAAAAATATAAAATGCTTAAATAAATACATAAGAATTTTTAAACAATTTGATTGCTACACAATGTGTAACGATCAATATCACTCAATGATTTATTATTCTGAATCTGAACTTTTTTCGCAGAATGTGGCTTAGTATCTCGACTGTTAAGTACAAGATCACTTCCTGCTAGTGAGACAGAACTATCTGAAGGGACTAGGCCTGGGGACTGCGGATCACGATACAAGTTTGGAGTACTTTGCGATGTGTCTCTGTTCAGTGATGCAAAGTTTGAAGACGCTCTCGTATTCTGGGCAGACGGTGGCTCATCAAGTTTAAAATCTTTCACGTACTGGCAGCCTTTTCCAAGTAAAACGATACTGTTTAATATCTTCAGTAATGTTATGCTATTACAGAAGTGAAAAAAAAAAATTTTCTTTACTGATTTTCAATTATGAAAATCCTTAAATTTATTACCGGCTAATTTTAAAGCCAAGCTGAGGAGGAAAAACATTTTTTGGTATGTTGTACACCGATATTTTCTAAGACACAAAAAGATATTTAATAAAAAAAAAAATTAGAAGCGGATAATGAGATACAGATTTTTGAATATTTAAAAACTGGGGGTAAAGGGACGTAACCAGCGTAAGGACCCCACCTCCCAAGTTTTTAAATATTGAAAAAATTTGTATCTCATTATCACTACTGAATTTTTCTACAAAAATTTTTATTTGTGTCTTAGATAAATAAGTTGTTATAACATATCAAAAATCTGTTTTTTTTTTCTTCTGGAGCCTGCTTTAAGGGTTTATGCAAAGAATAAAGAAAGATTTTTTAACACAATATTTAGCAACTTTTTTTGACAGAAGATCTTCGTATGTAGCTAAAAACAGTAGTTTTGCCAAAAGCATCAAGGCAGAGGAGAAAATAAAAATAAAATGTTATTGATGAATGTAAACAGTGTACAATGGGACTGATAAATATGACTTAAACTTATATACCGTAATTAAGGAAGAAATCGTCGCTCACATCACAAACTAACACAATCAAAGCAGATTGTGTTAGTTCATGAAATCACAGTAGCGCGTCAAAACGAGCGCGTATTGGTTGTCAAGCAATTTTGTATTCTTTACCACACAAAAAGTCCTTAACAACAACAGCGCGTATTTTGACGCGCTTTTTTAATTTCACGAACTAACACAATCTACTTTGATTGTATTAGTTTGTGATGTGAGCGACGAAATATAGATATCTTATTTTTGAGATTTCAAGTTGGTTTTTATTTTTCTCTGAAATTTCCAAATTTTGTGGTGGCAGGTACGCTAAACTGGCCAAAAATAAATTTCATTTTTTTAAAAATCATCATTATTGGCAGGCAGTTGGTTAGCTGAACATGGTATAAAAATCTTTATATAGAAACATTATTATAGAACTTGGCAAGGAAATAATTTCATACTGAATGCTAATAACTCGATATACAAAGTAAAGGATTAAAGTATTTAACTATATTGCTCATCACTGACATTATTTCTTTAATAAATGATTAAAAAAAATGCCTAAAAGAAAAAAAAACAAAAAAAACAAACTAAAAATCTTACCTTATATAGAAAAGGATAAGAATGACAACTGAACTTATTCCAGTGATTTTAAAAGATTGGGTGAAGATTCGTATGCCCTAAAATAATACAAATGCATGAGAAACCAAAAATTGATATGTGTATAATTGCCTTTCCAAAGATATGTGACATACCATGTTTTACGAGGTAAAACGGCTATCTTAAAATTCATAATGGTGACGTTATATTTGATGTTGAATTTATTTCATTTTTATATAAACAGATAATAGTGTGTTGGTTAAATTTATTTTAACTTCTTGATACTAAATCAATGTGATCTGAGTAAGCCTAAAAAAAAAAAAAAATAAGTATATCAATAGATCAATCAATTAATTAACCAACCAACCACTCAATCAACCAATCATTAGTAATCTGTGTTTTCTCAGGCTCTTTTTAGTACAGTGTGTGCCTCTGTAGCCCCCATTTGATCACTCTTTTTAAATCTTTGCATAACTTTTCAGATAACAAAAATATAAATACTTCACTTCTTTGACATACTGTTCTCTTCCATTTCAATCTCATTTAAAATCCACAGTGCAGCAACAAAATCCTGACAGGAGGCCAGAAGGGACAAACCTGTCCTTGGTTTTTGTGTTTACAGAATTATTTTTAAGTCATAATTCATAATTAATAAATTTGTGCACTCATTTTTTAAAAAAATTTATATACCTGGTGTTTTTTAAGGCTGCACCATGCTTAAAAGATAAACATTGAGTATAACAGATATAGAAATACATATAGATGTTTACAGAGATATAACTAACTGTCTTTTTTCTGCTAGAGACCATATCGTATGCTAAACTTGCGCGATATTCTACGTAAACCTGCAGAAGGGAAAAAAAAATGATTATGTACCAATAATAATAACATAAAAATAACAATACATAGTAACAACAATAAGGGAAAATATTAACATTCCTCAAGCTAATTATTGCTGAACATCAATTTGAGTATGGTGTATTTTAATATTTTTATTCTATTTTTTGTTTTACATTTTGATAACCAACTGGCATCCAGGGGGTCTTCTCCTTGACATCAAGGTGACATTTTATTCTCATGTATGTATACATACTAAGGAACATAGAGTGGATGAGTTCCTCGGAAATAACAGCCAACCATGCTTAGTTTTTAGTTTTTAGTTTTTCGGAGCTAGATTAGGGATTTTTTTAATATTTGCTTTCTTGTTCACTAAGATCATCCATAATATGTTACAAAATCACCATCGTCGTTTTCAGCTTTGTTGTCATAGTCATCATCGCAAAATGTTTCGACATCACCACCATTCTTATGTTCTATGTAATGGATATTATAAATAACTTGATAAATTGTAAATACTATGAAAAATAATGGCTAACCTCAGCAGAAATACAGTTAAACTTTGTAATGAAGGCATGCTTAACCCAGTCAACAAGGACCTCTCCTGCCAGGACTAGCAATAGGTCTGGTATTAGCTTTTTAAAATGCTCTGTAAAAAACAAAATGACAAAATTCTAATCTATTATTATGGCACATGTCAATATTCTTTTTTCCAAAATTTTGTCTCTCCACAACTCTTCACTTTCATGTTTTTATCAATATATGTAATGTCAAAAACACTAACTGAATACAGCAGTGGCTACATTAAGCCACATTTGTACTGTATATGCTTGAATAAGCACCGCAGTGTCTACGGCTGTTCCTGTTACCTGTCTCGCGTATTCCTGTAGTTCAGTAGGCCTATCATAGGTCCGACGTCATCGTAAATAAATGTTTATAAAGAAATTGTACTTAAAACCGTTTCTCTAATTGTTTCACTACACAGCAGTGTAATATATACTTTCGATTAGGCGCCGCAGCGCTTAGCGAAAAAAATTCAGGTTTTTATTCGAGCATTTACGGTAATTAAAATGCCACATGACAGCCAAATTTGGTTTTAGAAAAAGCACATTTTTTTTTATGAGCTAACTTAACGGTTTTTTTCTATGGTTTTTAATGCATTTTTTGTACTGCAGGAAGGAATGAAATTTAAACACTGAATATATTTATTACTCTAATAGCTGACATTAGCATCACTTGCTGCAGATCACTTGATGAAAGAGTACAAAGAACTACGTTGGCACTCCTTGATCCACACATAAATCTATTCAAGAACAGAGAACTTATTGTACACAGCTACATAATATGCTATATATTGCTTAGCTGTGTCATTGGATATTTTACCTGGATTCCAAGAAAATTCTGTCATGTTCCTAAGAACAACGATCGATAAGAGCACCAAGTAGTGGTAGCGTTCCCGGATGTCAGCGCATGACATCTGGTACAAATTACGCTTCTCAAATTTCTTAAATACGCTTCCTTTTAACTCAACAAACTGTGGAATATAATATATAAACAATTAGTAAATAATTGGAAGGAATAACACATGTTAAAACACATGGTATTCTATAGTAAAACCACCAAAGTAGAAAACTTAGATATATCGAATATCATAATATATGTTGTTCTTTATTAGGGAGGAGTGTATAAATATTATACTACCAATACATATTTTTCACAAAGTGTCAAATTATTTTACCAATGAGAATACGACATTCATGGTAGGCGGGGCTCCTTGGAAAGGTCTATTGTCTGCTATAGGGTGACAAAATGAATAAAATAAATGAATTTTTGTGGTACTTACATTATTTGACATCATGATAGTAAGCAGGGCTTTTGTGTGAGAATTGAACGCCACATTCAAAGTAGTAGCTTGGAATAAAACTAAAATAGCATGCAAAACTGGAAGATGAGTTAAGGAATTGTCAATATCATTCTTTCATTGATAATTTTCTAAAAACAACCCCATTATTATATTTAATTACATACTTGCTGTGTACCTAGGGCTGAAACTTCATAGCCCGTCAACAATGCAAGCTGGTGCATCTAAACATGACCGGCCGAGAATGGTCACCTGTTTGAGAATGGTCAGAATGTGGTTTGAATTCCTGACCACTGTGTTAAGAACTTGAAAAGAAACTGCTGTGTCAAATGGCATTCCCCATTATCATCACTACTATCATTTAGATGATGATAATGATAATGACACTGATAATGATAAATGATAATGATGACAAATCTCCATATCATCATCATTATTAGTAATAATAATCATCATCATTATTTGATCAAATTCTTTAAATGAAATTTTTATACAATTTGGAAAATGATAACCAGTCATGGGCGTCTTCCTGAAATCGGGATGGCCTCCTTCACTCCTGAAAGCAAGCAAGAATCTGCTGCAGAATAACCCATCTCCAGCAAATTTCTAATATTCGCATGTTTTTACCACTTTATTATCAATTGTCTCATGGATGTCAGCGCAGATGGTTATCACCATGCACAGCAAAATACAAATTAAATATGTAAAGAAAGCTCATTTAACCAAATTTCCCAGAAAGGATTTATTCCAACTTTGGACCCCATGGCAACAGTACACAGCAAAAGATACAGACATAAATGATGGCCAATCCCAAATGAGGGATGATGCCAAAGTGCTCTCGTTTTTTATTTTTAGGTTCAGTTGCCGTCCAGAATAAAGCATCTAGAATGTCTTGGCCAAAGGACGAAAATAAACGGTCAGCTACCTGCAAGAAAAAACACAAACATATGAATATATATAATTTGTTTAAATAAAATACAGTGCTACTAAAATAGTAACTAATAAAATGAATGAATACCACAGTAAATTATTTTCTCCCATAGGGCACCAGCATACTTACAATTAAGCAATTAAATATTTCAATTAACTGTATAATTTTCAAGAAAACATAGCATCAACCTGACAGATTGTTGGACTTACCTCCAACATATTATAGATAATATAAAGCTTAATCATAGCCTGCCCTCGCACTATATGATATAACATTGAAATGTCAATGTAGTACAGTAGCCAACTGCAAGCAATCAGGATAAAACCCTTCAACAAGTCACACATCTGAGCAGGCTCAAGCCACCGACCTCCGCTGAAATACAAGACATACATGTTTATTATGTGTTTGTATCCAAATCAATTCAGGCTGGTATTTAACTCGAGGGAGATTCTATGGTTTGGTTAAGACTTTAATTAAGATTTCTATGTCTGTGTATAGTGATGCACATTATATCAAAATAAATGTAAATATGTGGAGTAAACTAATTAAAAATGATATATTTGCTGTGTATAACCAAGGACAGTGTGTTTATTGTAATTCGTTGTACAGTAATAAATGCAATGTAATACAAAATAGTGTGGCTTGTGAAAGCGATTGAGGACCAGTAAAAATGTTAATTTACCGGTCCACTTGGCTAGTTAAAAAAAACCTTAAGGGAAACCCTGTAATCCCCCTTTTCAACCCAATTTCATAAGCTACACTATCATACTCCTTTTACATAAATACATTTTCCCTGAACGCTACAGTACTAGAGCATCTAGGCAACCCTTGGACCTCTGAGAACATTCTGTAAGAAAATCTTGCTTATGAGCCTATGCGAAATTAATATGAATCATGTTACAATTTTTGAAAAGCAAAGAAAACCATGGCAGCACATGTTAGTAATTGTGGAATTAGAAATGAGGCCAGTCCCTTTAGCTCCTGTGTTCATTAAACTCAATTTTGTCTTGATGGTTAGAACAGCCCATCTTTCAACTCATGAAAATACTCTTTCCATTGTACTGTAGGCCTGAAACAGATAGATAATAAAGTTTGTAGCTTACCGCTGTACTTGACAGGGGCCAATGAAGATCTTAACGAGCGCAATAGACACTCGCATTGGCAGGAATGTGAATAAAAACAGAAAAGCATCCATGCAGAGGAAAAAGCCGTACCACATCATCTGAAACCAAACATTACTTATACACTATCAATAACATAATGTTTAATATTTTCCTTTTGTATTCTATTTTTTTAAATATATCTAAAGATTGACTTCTTTTAAATAGAACTTTGTACATTTAAATTTGTTTTTATTGAGCTTGTCAACAAAATGATTTTCCTTTTTTGGACAAAAAAAGTTTCTGTCTTCTGCATTAAAATTATATTTCACCTTTTCAACTTCCTTTTGGATTTTAAAAAAAGTGTACACTCGTTCACGCTTCTGTTCATACTTGGCTTCATCATGCTGTAAAAAGTAGCCCCTCGTTAATTCAGCATTAAGGTACTTGAACAAAGAAAGATCTGAAAATATAAAAAAAAACATGAATGTTTTCTTCATCTTCATTTTGTGGCGTCAAATTCTAGAAAAACCAAGATTCGCATTCAACGGATTCATACATGCATCAACATTTTATTTATTACGATAGAATATGTGAAGTTTTTTTGGGTGTTTATGTTAAATTTTATCAACATCAATAATAGCGATATAGAAATGAATGTTGCAAATTATGTATGTAGGCATATCATGGACCTATTAATAAGTCCATGGTCATAAAATTGAATGCAATGCCTGCACAACAATAGTAATAAAGGACTACGACTAGTCAACCCATAATTAATAGTAAGGTTAGTTGAGCCAGTTCCACTCGCACTAATCAACACCACGAAAAACGATTGCGAAAAACTGTCACTGTCAGAACATTTATCCACAGCCAGCAGATAATTATTTTATAAAATATAAATATATTTAAATATTTAAATTACATTTTTTTTTCATTAGCCTTAACTATATCTCACTTTTGTCTAAATTCGTCGTGCAGCTTTGTCTTCTGCTACCTGTTGCTTTCTGCTCAGTAACCAAAGGCGTCAATTTGGGGCCTTCCGTCTGTTTTAAATGCGGGACGGAAGCCACCCTGGCGGCACCTGTAGGGTCACCATCATCGCTTGTCTTCTTAGGTCTTAGCCTAACGCTAGGACTTTTCGAATCATCTTCATCAGGTGGAATGAAGTCACCTTTCCCAAGGGAACCGACGTCCGACTGCATTATACAAAACAGTGAATTGACAACACAGCAAACGTGGAATCAATGTATCAGCATACAACAAATATCATAAAAAATACGAGACATATGTTTCGCTCACTATTCATGCATGTTGTTTTGATTGATGAAATGCTTGCCAAATAGCGCCATCTATAGGTGTTCATATAATTACCGCGTGATATTTGGCATATTTAGATCCCTTTAGCATTGCATTTGCGCTAGTCATAATTTTGGCAAATGTAGCATAATTTAGCATAATTTTGACGTACAAAGAAAAATAGGCCCTATCTCAGGTATCACACTTGCATATGAAATTTTAGAAAAATATAATTAATGATGATGTAGTTTGATTATTAACCGTTTAATCAAGTTTAATATTGGTCATATCCTTTAGTAGATTTAAAGTGGAAGCGTGCCACCCCCCCTAATTTTTTTTTTAAAAATCATTTTAAAAAAATGAAGCAAAAAAGGAAAATTATAAACAAAATGTAAGTTTGAATGCCATTTCCGGCCATCTTGAGGTACCATATAAATCATACTCTTACCTCAGCCCCAACCATGGCGGGGCTATGAGGTGGTCACCCTTCATCTGTGTCCTCTCTCCCCCACTCTTTCAAATTCTTGGATCAGCCCCTGATACTGCATCTTCAGAAACGATTAAATAAGATGCCAAATTATCAAACATGTCTGAGCTCCTGGCACTTTGGCTACCGTAACCTGTTTGTTTTTCTCTGGTCCTATCCATTAATGGGCTCACTCATCACTCTCAAACTGTGTTCCACCGCCTGTATGTCATGGTCATTATAAGCCCATGGCCGGCCTCATGAATCATCAGTTTATATTCTCATTCAAATTCACGCGTAAATCTTTATTGCAATTCGTAAGCAAATTGAAGATAACAATCAAAATCGGAAAAAGGTACTCAAACAGGAAAGAAAAACAAATATGAATTAAAAATTTAGAAAATTCTGTATACATCTCAATAAGTTATAAAAATAAAGTGAAACTCACACAAGAGATTCTTAAGAAATCTAAAGCTATTAATTACACTCCTCCTAAGAATACAGGAAAGTATATCCAAAAAAGACAAAATTTTCTCCTCCTCCTCTTAAAATTGTTTGCTGAAAATTGCACAAACCTTTTTTTTTAAGTTTTTTTTCTCCTATCACCAAAATTAAATCGCAATTTGCAATTAAGGCTGTCTCACTATTTTGTTTTTCAAAGGGTATTCATCAGACTGAATAAAAATAACCTATAGGCCTAATCGATATTTTGTGAACAAATATCGAAAAAACAAATTATTTTCCCGTGAGTTAGGGGCGGGCGCTGGAGGGCAAACAATTTTTTTAGGCCTAATAACAATCCCCCATCCCACTCTAACAAAAACTTGGGTGGTTGTAAAAGCACCATTAAGAAAACAGTATATCACAGTCTATTAGTTATTAGGTAGAATGGATACACTCCACTCTACCTCCTATTAGATAGGCCTACATACCACAATTTTCTTTAGGTAAAAAATAAATTATTGTGTTGGTCACATTTTTGAAAAATCAGGATAGGATAAGGGGTTTGTTTTTGGTTTTGTTTTTTTTTCTAACTAATAATCATGTGTTTATGCCCAAAAAGCAGAAAATACTCAAATCCACAAAATACAACAAAGGCACTTCTAAATCTATGTCGAAGCAAAACGATCGCATAATACTGTCGCATCGCCTACCGTCCAGCAAGATAGTCCTATTCCAGTCTTTTTAGCTCATAAAAAAATATTTATCTTTGTAGTCAAAAAATAAATAAAATTAATAAATAAATACATAAAAAATAAAATAAAAATGCTGAACCTCAATTTCGTACATTTTGGGTCGGTCGGGCGTGGCACACAATATTTTTTTTTTATTTGGCCTTATAAAGGGGATTTTTAAGGGCCATTGCAGGGAGAATTTCATTATTTTTTCTTATAAAATCGATCGTTATACTACTCAAATAAACCCCTCTCACTGGATATGTAGAGCACAACACGAACTTAGGTCTACTGTTGAAAAGTTTGTATAGTAATATGTGAAGTCCATCCCCAATTAAAAACCCGGTTGAATGCTTATCTTTTATCATTAGCTGTTCCATCCAATTGAAGATTCCTTTTTAGAGACTAACCATGGATTTGGCAGACCCAACTGAAAAGCCTTCGTCTAATAAAGACCACTATAAAAAATTAGTGATGTTCATGCAATTTTTTTCTATAATAATTTGTGTTATATGTCTTACAAATAGAAATATTAGCCAATGCACTGTTTTGAGTACAGTGTTTTGTGTATATTGAATAACAATAATGTTATTGAAAATGTGAGTAATATTAGGACAAGTTGGATGCCTACCATTAAATATTTTACTAAGAATAAATAACAGCATGCGTTAAAATGTACATCCATTTTAAAACATTTAATGTAGGCCTATTATTTTTTAATTTAATTCTAAAGAGAGAAATCTAAAGACCATATTTAGTGCCTGCCCAGGCGTCTAAAGTCTCTTGCCGAGCCTCGTAATGGAGTCTCCTTAAAAATCGGCAGGAACAACAACAAAACAAGCGAGAGTTTTTCAAAAAATATAATCTGCTGCATTTATGATAATATTTGCATGCTTTTACAAGTTTTTAATACTGTATTATCAATTGTCTCCCAGCAGTCAATTCGAGCAGTTAGTGGCAACTACATTATGGTTATTGCCATGCACAGAAAAATATACTGTATTTAGATGTCTTAAGAAAACTCATACAGATTTCCCGGATGTGGATTCTGCCGGTCTTTAATTACAGTGTGGATTTTATTAGCCACAAAGACAATGGTTTTGGCAGACCAAAATTGAAAATTTTCTACTACTTTTAAAATATATAGTGGTTTTAGTGCAGTTACATACATCAAAAGCAGATGTTTTGTGTCTACAACAATGCTCAATATTGAATACCGTACCAATAGTGTTAGTAGGAAGTTGAAATTTGTATTTTTCTAATTAATTGGATATTTGGGTATTAGGCGAGCACATGACTTAGAAATGGTTTACAATGAATCAGTAACAGCATACAATAATCCATTCTAAAACACTGGGAAGATAGCATTCCAACATAATGTAATTCCTTACGTCTGCAAATTTGTCTAACTTTGAATCTGTGGTATGGTACAGATCCCAGGCTATAATTAACTTAATTCTATTAGAAAACTGTTGACGGAATCAGTGGTGGGGGGGGGGGAGCCAATAGCCACAACCCCTCCCCCTTGTCAGGTCGGGAACTCCCTTCCAAATCCCTAAATTGTCAGAGTTTAAGGGTTCTGGAACACACCCCTGGCCTCGTCCACTTGCTCGCACAGTAAATATTACACCCGTCCCCCTCCCCACCCCCACCGTTGGGAACATCGTACCTTCACGTCACGCAAATCATGGTACAACCACTGGATAGAATAGTATTGATAATGGTGTTGCTTTCATTTTAGAGGTTGGGGCTTATTCAAGTGCCACTACATTTTACATTTGGCATAATTTAGCATAATTTCCCATCAGCTCTCAGCTAATTGATTTGCATCACTGGTCACAATGAAAAGCGTGTGCATCCAGATCATCAAACGACGAAAAAAGAATGAATATCACAACCAAAAAAAAAAAAAAAAAGGGGGGGGGGGGAAGACTTCAGTGAAAATAACGAAATTATGGTCAGTTTAATATGGAAAAATTATAGCACCAACTTAATGAATAAAAAGTTTTGTAAGGCAATATTGATATACGAAATCTTTATTTTGTAATAGTATTAAGTATGATATACAGTATATTATCACACATCCTATATAGGATCTGTGGGTATATGCAAGGTATTGTTCTATTATAAGAATAAGAATCAACATTAGTTTGTCCCACAACCTGGCATTATTAACATATTGTACAAGTTTGGATTATGAATGTTGTAATTCAGAAATTACAATTACAAAAGTATAAGAAATTATTATATGGGACTCAAAAATTTGGTAATCTTTGGATTGTCAAACTGTATAAAAAACACAAAAAAATTGACTGCCTTATAACACCCATTTACAGATCCAGGAGAAATTACTGTCAATAGATACCACCACAAATTAATCATGGAAGATCATGCGACCTACCCTAACATTTATCTGGGTTTACTTCATTTAAGCCCAATTGGATAAGCCCAATTGGATGACTGTAGCCTGGTTTCCATACAATCGCTACACACTATCGACAACAGATTTCGGTGATTTCGGAGAGCCTTCCCGATTGCGTCGGGGATGGCTACGCAGTACAGTACAAAAATTGAACTGAAAACACTAGTGACAGTGTAGCGATTTTATGGAAACCAAGCTATACTCAAATTTGTGCTATCCCCTGCTCTGCGAGTACACTTGAACATTTGAAGTATTATGTCAAAACTTTCAAAATGTTATAAAAGTAAATATTTAAAAAAATATGTATACAAATATATTTTAGTATATGTCCTGCAATTTCATATAATTCATAGCATAAACCACACAATTCTGATTATCATGTCTCAAAATAGTAACATTCTGAATTTTTATCAAATCAGTTCTCATTCCAAATTTAGTTAAATGATCTCTTAAAACATCTCTGCTTTACAAATAGGCAGTGGTTATTATTACACCACTCAATTCTGAATTCTGATTGGCTGTTTAATATGTATGGTTTAGATTAGGACATTAAATCAGAAATCAGTAGCAATAACCACTGCCTCACAAATAATTTGCTATTATAATATGTCACATGACTAAAGCAGGACAATATGCCAGAAAATAAAAAATAAATGAATAAATAAAAAACATATACAAATGTATAGTGTAATGAACTAAAAAAAAAAAAACCAAAAAGCAAATGAAAACTAACTTCATTAGGCCCAAACAATTGTTGAGCTGCCCAAACACAGTGACATTTAGAATTCAGGGTTTGGTTTTTTACTATTGACCCGGGCTTAATTCAGTGACAATCATTACTCTCTCAATGAACATTGGTTAATAAAATGGTAACCACAAGAAAAAAAATATCAAAGTTAAGGTATCAAATTTAATATCTAAAGATTGAAAATTGCCTTTTCAAACACCATACAACCATTTTGGTTTCCTTGGTAAAAAAAAAATCTTTAGATTTTGTACAAAAAACAAATACCGCATACTGTATATTTGAATAAAATGCCCAGGGGCGTCTTTTGTTGAGAAGGGTTTATAAGGGGGCGTTTATTCAAGGGAAGTGTTTTTTTTTGGTGAAAAATGGATACATATATACTCAAATAAATGTCTTTTAATTTCACTGTAAATGTGGAACTACAGTACAACACCTAATTATCAACCAAATGTGTTATTGCATGATCATAAAGACTTATTGATCCTAACCAGGTTAGAATAAATATAAATCAACTGGAGTAGAACATTAACATAATGTGTCGAGAATGTTATTGCTTCCATTTGTTTTTTGTATTCATTTCGGGTGTGGGGGGGCATTTATTTGAGGAAAAAATAAATGCCCCGGGATGGTTATTTGAAAGAGGTGTTATTCCAAATGAGGCTCTGGAAGGGGGAGTCTATTTGAGGGGTGTGTTTATTCAAATAGGGGCATTAAATTTGAATAAATACGGTAAGTAGACCTTGGACTTTCAAGATCTTTAACTTTTTTTGGGGGTATGGCTTGGGCACCACAACCTTTGTTTACTCTTTTGTCTTATGACAATATCTTGTATTACAACAGAATGAAAAAAATATACTAGTATTTACAGTTATACACACATACATTCAAAACCAACACTCTATTGCATCAATCATCTAATTTCTTTAAAACAATCTATCTTTGTATATATTACTGAGGCTCTCATTAAAAAGAATTGTATCAATGTCTCAATTAAAATAAAGGTATAACTTTAAACAGATCAAATATTACTGATTTTAACTGATATTTGTTTAATCATAAGTAATTAAAACAACGTATGGCTAAAACAGCAAAATCTTTTTTGTAAATAACAATTTGTAATATAAACACAGATTTTTTTTTCTATACAATGATTAAATGGAAATTTATGAAAGACTTTTGTCTACAAATAGGGTAACACACCACCGTCATTTTCTCATTCAATTTTCCTTTCATTATTTGGAGTAAGTGCTAAAGCAAATTGTAAAAAAATATTTAAAATCTGTTTCAGTCCATGTAAATTACATAATTCCTTTTAAATTCTTGATCTGAGTCTGATATGTTTAACCTCCAGATCTGCTAAGGGGTGTATGCAGGAGGCGGGGGTAGCTCATCGAAATGCGGGGCACCACGCAATTCAGCTTCCAAGAAGTTGTCCCAGTCGTCCATCAGCCTCTCTCGTGGGACAACCTCGAAAGCTGAGTATCGCCGTAGAAGATTTGTTGCGGAGATGATAACTGATAGTGAGCCGGCTCCAGCCACCAGGTAGAATCCAACGTCGTATGACACAGACACCTTACTTCCTTGTGCTAACTTGTAATTATTCAATACCACCTCCATTAGTGTCGTTACCCAGTAGCAGAACCCACAGATGGTTACACAAAACAGTACTGAAAAAACAAAACCCCCGAATACATGGCTTAAGAAAATCTATGTAAACATGTATGCATTCATTAATATTCATTCATATTCTTATGATTCTTTCATTCAATCATTCATCCACACATTCATTTATTCATTCACTTTCCTTTACTTATTCGATCATTCACTCATTCATTTATTTATTCTCTCATTCATTCATTTATTCACTAATTCATTTACTAATTCCTTCATTCATTCATTCACCCACTCATTTACTTATTCCCTCATTCATTTATTCATTCACTCACTCATTAATTAATTCATGGAATGCCAGTCAATTCGAACGAATGCCATTTCAAGCGGATGCATTTAGTGCGAACTACAATAAGGGCGAATTTATCGTCACCCTATTTTTGTATTTGTGAGTGAAATAGCACTTTCGTTTGTTTTAAATGCAAAATTGTTCCGTGCACTAAAGGTCTGAAATGTGTTTGGTACTTTTTTGATAATTATTCCATGATTGAATTACAGTCTTGGCAAATTCAACTACCAGATGGCCGCTAACAAGCACTTAGGCCTATATTTTCAAACTACTGTATTGAATTGCACACATTTCATTTTATTCGTTTTTGTCTCCAGTTGGGGTTTTGTATGTAACAGCCCTCGAAATCAGCGTCGGCATTCGGCAATGCCGAGGTAATTGCTGACGCTTAGCAAGCTTACCACGGCACCAATTTGCCGAGTCTCCTTTTCTATAGGCCTAGCAAGTGGCCTAAAGAAATTTCAGCTTGTATGCACACAGAATGTTAACATTTTTCAGTTTATTATTGTGTGTAAATTAAAATTAAACATTTAATTTAATCGTGTAAAGTAACTAATTTAACAACGCCAAGTAAGACGTGCTTAAAAACCAGGAATTACCACAGTCAAGCCGATAAATGTCACTTTGATTGATTGATTGATTGATTGACAATGGCCCAAGCATGTTGTTGTGGCAGGCAGCAGCGAACGATGAGGGCGTGGAAGATTTTTGGTAGATTCTGGCCTGGGTACTCTATACTGTGACATATGTTCATTTTAAAGCAGCCGTAAAATTAATAATTAACTTATACTATTATTATAATATACCATAATGTTGCCGTTTTTACGACATAAACTTCAATACACAAATAAATTAAATATTGTTAACAATTTGTTTTACCTGCTTCAGAATGGTACGAACTATAAACATTACGTCATTAATGAAGAGAGCAAACACATGTTAAGCTCAACGGTGGCATTGAAGGGAAAAATGCTTTTTTGGCTTAGGACAAACCCTAGATAATTAAATAGGCAGGTCTAGAATTTGATCGACGTTAGGCCTAGTCAGGTGAGCTTTTGTTCTGTAGCTGTTGTTTGATGTAGTTCGATGATAGATAATCCCTTTTAACTGTAGTTAGGGCATAAGTTAGAGAGACATTAAAAAATGCAAATTGCTGACGTAGTGCCCAGACAAGTGCAATTTACGCCGGCAGTTTTTTGCCGAGGACTTATCGTCCCAATTTCGAGGGCTGATGTAATAAAGCAAATTATATTTGTAATTAAATAATGTTGTGTATTTGTAGGCCCTAAATTTACAATTAATACTGTATGTAAATGGGAGTAACTTTAATTGTAATTTATATTCCCTAGAGAAATTCAAATTATATTTACATATCTAGGTGTCAGAAGGTGCACAAATCATTGGTGTAGTAGTGTGACAACTATTAACAGTACAGTAATAATAATGATATCATATTACCATTTGTCTATAGTTCAAAACCCACATTTTCACTTAAAAGCAAGTGGAAAGAATAACAATTACGAATGACTAAGAATAAGATTAAAGATAAATCATTATTTTTATGAACGTAGTTATGTTCAACTTCTATACATCAGGCTATAGGCTTCTCCCCTGGCTCCAAGGCAAAGCTTGAGCCTCGCTAGCTTTTTGTTAGCTCAAAATAGGAAATTTTTAAGTAATTCGTACACAACTCGCACAGCCTGTTGTTTGCCTAAGTGGATCTTTTCCCGCTCGAACTACGGTAGCATCCGATCGAACTGGCATTCCTCGAAGTGGCACCTGCTCAAATTGACTGGTTCCCTTCATTTATTCATTCATTCACTCATTCATATATAATATATATATAAAACATTGTCAAAAACAAATGAAACACCTGTGATTATGTTTCCAACAGAATGCCTCCGTATTGTCTTCACAATGTGTTTCATTGGGCCGAGAGTATCAAGGAAAAACGCAATAAGACTACTGATGATGGAGAGGAAGATGAAACCGATATTAAGTCGCATAATAGTCACAACCTGCGATGTGATACAGTATTCCATGGCTGCAAAGAAAATGTGCAATAAAGTTATAAGGGTGAAATCATATGATTGACTATTTTCATCATGTATAAACTGAATTTAGCAAATTATTAATTCAAATTTCAATACCAAAACACAAAAACAATTATATATTGTAACAAGTGGGCAAAGTGCGGCCAGCAGCCTGTCAGTGAATTTTTTTGCGGCCCGCGGCAATGAATTAAAAACCCTATGTTTTGCGGCTCGTCACCAAAATTGGCTAGAAAACACCTTGTTTTTTATGGCCCGACACCAATAATATGTAAAAAGAAACATTAAAACTGAGAATAAAGGTGATGTGAAAGCTGTGATTGGAGGTATCCAAGTTTGGGTGCGGCCCTCAGTGTTAAATCAAAAGTTCACTTCGGCCCTCCGACCTATTTTTATGCCCACCAATGCTGTAACAGTTTCAAGAATACTAAATACAAAAAATATATTTTATTGTCCCCAGACAATGTATGAAAGTAATAAGGATCATTTTGTTTGGGAGAGAGGAGGTGAGGGGAAGGGAGTGAGGGGAAGGGGAGAGAGAGGAGGTGAGGGGAAGGGAGTGAGGGGAAGGGGAAATTCATTGTTTTTACAAGGAACTTGTTTGAAAGGAAGGATGTTTGAAAAGGAAAATTTTCAAACTTTTAATTCATACATATACAATGTATTTTTATATACACTGAATACACCTGCATCTAGATATTAAAATAATTTTTACAACCCTTTTAATCTCCAATGAAACATTCAGGTAACAGATAAATAATGCAAATCTGACAAAGTGCAATAATGAAAAAAGGTACAGTATTATAATACAGTAACTGCTGCAGTTAACATTAGAAGTGAGGTAACTAAATCAAGAACGCCCGTTTCTACATGGGCGTACAGAACACAAAAAGGTAATAATGTATATAGAGCATCTATTTACACTAACAAATCAAGCATGAAATCAACCATAAAAATATGAGGCCTGATAAGAATGACAAAGCACATACACTATAGTGCCTTAATTTTTTTCTTACAGAGTAAATTTTAAAGTGCTGAAACCCCAATTTTAGGCCCATTAAAACTTCATTGTGCTTTTCAAAAAAGGCCATTCCTTCCATGCTATGGCTACCATATTGGCTGTATCAGGGAAATAAAAACAGAAATAGAGAGAGGAACTAGGTTACACAGGCATTATATTTGCTGTGCAGGACTAATGCTTAGTCTCCACAATCGCTACATGCTATCACCGATAGCTTTCGGTGATGGTGATTGGTCGCTATTTTGAATATTGTAATGTTATTGTTTATGCATAGAATCTGCGAAATAAAAGTTTATATATTACCCAAAGTTAAAAAACATGGTTGATTTTGGCTAAGTGCTGCAATGAAATAAGGTATGCTGTGCATATTTGAGATTATATTGAATAGACTTCGGGCCCTTAACCCTTACGCTGCGTCATGCGTTCCCCCGGTACTACCGGGGATAATCAGACATGGTTGAACTGCGTACCCTGGGGGAATGAAAATAATTCTTTTTAAAATTGTTCCAGTACTACAGGCGCGATCTATAGTTGTTTCTATAAACTAGAGGTGATTTCTACTGAATTATATGTAGTAATGAATTGTTGCAAAACTCATCTTAGAGCGATTTTTCTAATTTTTTTTTTTCACAATTCTGCCGACAAACATGGATTTTGTCTGTTTTGAATAAAATGATGAAAATAATTCAAACTATTGATTTTTAAAAATTCATTTTATGTATCTTCACCATTATCCAATGAAAAAAAACAGCATGCCGTATGAATTTTTATCTTTTTTTTTTTACAGATTTATGAAAAAGGGGATTTCCAATATGGCTGCCCCAAGATCACATGACCACCTAATTAAAAATTCCAAATTTCAATTTATTTTTCCCCATAGGCCAACCTCTTTCTCACCCCAACAAACAAAAACAATTTCAAAAAAACCTATTTTAGTATTTTTGTTTTTGGCATTTATTTCAAAATAATCTTCTTCCTAAAAACAGCCCAGCACAGGGGGTGTACAGTATTTTCCTGCAGTAGTGAAAGGGGTTAATCAAGATAAAATAGTACTTAAAATGCCTAAATTTTTGGGACTCTGGATCAAACAACTGGTTAAAGAACTACAGTAACTGTAAAAACAGGATGAAGTCAATTAGGCTTATTATACAACACAAAAATAGGTTAAGAAAAAATACCACTCCAAATAATAAGTAATAAGTAATAAACACTTTAGTGTACAAAGTGCCACAATAATACCTTCAATAATTCTATGCACTGCAAGTCAGTACACTTACCATTTATTAATCACAATACTGTAGTACATAATGAATTACTGAATTTTTTATAAAGTATCGTACTGTAGGATACCATCCATTACTTTGAGTAGAATACAGTACAAAATATAATGTTAAGAGTTGGGTAAAATAACAACAATCATCTTTTTATGTACACGTCCAAGTATAATTAAATATTATTTGAACTTGAACAAGAGGTAAGGAGGGGGGTCACAAAGAGTATGTTTACTTTCATAAAAAATGATGAAAAAAGGATCACCCCACCACCCTCAAGGGAATTTATTTTAAATTGAAAATTTAAGATTTTTATTAAATAACTGGTTTTTGCAACAATACACAGGCACATAAAGCACCAAATATCCATGACAGAATTGAATGTAAAGTGATGCAATAGTGTCAACTAATTTTGGTTGTGGAAATATATAATATGATACATTAGTCTACTTACATGGTGCATCTTCGACATGTGGGGTAAGGAATTCATAAGCCCCGATGTATTCCTTGTCGCATTTGCCACCGTGGAGTCGGAACCATTTCTGCTCCGCGAGAGCAGCAATGAGGAATGCAATGACAACCATGCCCATAATAGCTGCCACTAAGTTCCGTTCTGTGATCTTTGGTCGGATTTGTCTGCTGCGACGATGTCTGTGATGACGATGTCTTCTATGGCGATGTCTGCGAGACCTACCAGAGCTTGATGATGTACTAGTAGTAGTTGTAGCTGGGGTTGTGCTGTTACTATTGCTGCTTGGCATGGTTGTTTATTCTTAAATCAATACTTTTTAGGGTCAAAGTTCAGAATACAAAATAATCCAGGAGAGTAATTCTTATGTTAATCTTTCAGTTATTTTGATGCATAGTTGGCATTTTGGTAAATTTAGCAAAATATATTTAGCTCCATTTTACCTGCAGAAAGAAAAAAAACCAGTATGTAAACAAATATAAGTGACCTCACCATTCCAAAAATAATCGAATTAAGAATCGGATTATGTGAACTTTTCTCATTTTATATTCTTCGCTATATTTAGTCCGATATAGATGTTCTACACAAATTTATAGTTGGTCACCTTTCGAGATATCCTCTGGGCAAATATATTATAATCAATAGTGTTGGCAAACTCCACCTATCTGCACATTTAATTTGTGTAAAATCGTTGTTACTGTACATAAACACGGACCTTTTTACTGAAATAACAAAAATCTTTTTTCTTTTTTTTTGTAATTCTTTAGGTACATATTCCTATCTATAGGAGGCTTAGGATAGGCCTTACTTCAAAGAATCAAATATAAATTGGCCCTAGCCTAGGCCTATTGACTGTCTGGAAACCACAATCAATAAATAATTAAATTATGCACTTGTCAATTGTAGTCCTGCCCCCCCCCCACCGGACCCGGGCCACAGTGGGGCACTAGCCGGGGATGTACACATACTTGTGCCCCCATGGTGCCGGGACGTACCTAAAATTTACCCGTAGATGTAACAGGCCTCGGAAATCCCGGGAATTTTACACGTAGTAGCCGCGGTTTCGGGGGATTAGGCCTAGCCTAGGCTAGTGCTGTCAAACTGGGTTTGGTCCTACCTAGTCTACACTAGGACTAGGCATTCAGTCAGCAACTATTGTGTTTTGGTAATTAAAAAATGGCCTACCGGTACTTTCGGCCTACCATCATGGTTTCATTTATTATAGATCAGTGTATAAATTACTTAATAAAAATGGAACCAAACCACACAACGATGAGGACAGAGGTGGCGGCGTGTGTGAGTGTGTTGCGTGAAAATTTGTGAACTGTGAATTTGACCTAGTTTTGCGTCAAAAATACGCCAGTACAGTACATGAGCCAAGGCAAGGAAATCTGTTTCTACTACATGTAATCATTTTCTTATTTAGGCCTATTTCTGTTTTGATATTAAATAATTAATTATATCAATCAGTTACAGTAAGTCAATCAATCAATTATTTTCTTTTTCTATGATCATTTCCTTTTTTCCATACTTTTCCAAACTTCCATGGAATTCTGCTTAGTGATACTCATGCGTAGTGCTTCCATCAAGCAAGCTCATCTCCTTGGCCTAGCTCCTGCCTAGCTCTCACATGCTTCTCCGATTCAGACCTAGGCTAGATCTTCAAGTAGATCTTATCATCCAATCATTTATTAGCGGGGCATTTTACCAAGACTACGGCGGTAAGTGGTGGGGACTTAGCCGTGGATGTACGTTAAAACGATGCCCCGCATAGCATTGCCAGGAGGTGGCCGGGACCTTCACATGCATGTAACCGTTTTGGAAACTCCATTACCAGCTAAGCTCCCACTAGGCCCGGGTTCGGGGAGGCCGGGACTACAATTGACAAGTGCATTAGTTTAGCCTAGGCCTATCCTCCTAGTTGTTAGGCCTATATACTTTCTTAAATTTATTTATTTAGCCTAGGAGGACTAACTAGAGTCCTACATACTGTAGCTTTCTCAAATCACCAAGACTAAAGCAATCGCCACATACAAGGGAAGCAATCTACTGCCTGTTAGGCTAGACTCAGCCTTACCAGGCTCCCTGCCAGGGTCTCGGTCTAGGCCTAGTACTAGTAGGCCCTAGGCTAGGCTACAGAGTACTACTTATCGGACTACTACTATAGCCTATCTAAGCCTAGCAGTAAGTAGTACTTAGGCCTAGCCTAGGCTAGTTTAAATCTTCTAAATACTACATTAATTCAAACAACTATATCAACATATGAAAACAAATCACATTCTTCAAGTAACAAAAATGCTTACGTTCATATTTTGAAAGCCAATTTTTCTAAACACAAAGACTATAATAGTTAAAATAAATTCCACTTCCTTTATTTTCACTTTTTTGGCAAGTCTTCCCTTCTGTGTTTTTTTGTGTATGTCGTTGTTTCGCGCAGCAGCAGTAGCGCTACAGCATATAGATGGCGCTATTGCGATTCTCTATTATTTTCATCAATCATTTTTCTTGCAAGTACCGTCGCGCGAATAAGCTTAAAATATTTTTTGCACTTTCTGAGGGGCGCTTATTCAAACGGGGCGCTTATTTAAACGGGGAGCTTATGAAAACAGAGTGGAAATGGGGGCGCTTATGGAAATAGATGAAAATCGAGGGGTTCTTATGGGAAATTATTAAATTAAAGAGGCACTTTGTGAATGAAAAAAAGATTATATAAGGACATTCCGAATGGTGGTCAGAAAAGATAATCGTCCAGAGATGGCCAGCTCATGACAAGAATGCGTGAATATTTACATAACAGCAAAATAGCAGATGCTAGTGGTTAGCTTGTTGGCCATCGGCCGATTGAGATTAGCAGGATTGCAGGATCATTGTATTTTTCTTGAAAACTCAGATGAGAGTGTGCTAAACTTAAGGTCGTGGGTGGGGGGGGGGACAGGAGTAGGACTAGGCATAGACAAATATGTAAAAAGAGTAAAGTTGGAATATACTGTCTGCCCAGGGATCGGAGCTCTCATCTGTCCAAGAGAAATATCCTCATTTTAATATTGACCGAAGAAGAATGTGTTTCCACTCTACAGTTCAAATCATGCCAACAACACAGTCCCAGGATTGATTGGATTATTGACTTGCTAAAAGGCGCTTAAGGAAATTTTTACCTCAGGAGGGGGGGTTATTTTTTTAATCTTTCTTTATCTCGATGTATTTCAGTATGTTTCTTATGTAAATTGTAAGTGGAGATTATTTTTCGCTGTTAGTTTTGGAATGAAAATTATGTACTCTGGCTTATCTAAAAGTGTGACTAGCTCTAATATTTTAACACCGTTATTCACTACATTATTATCATGGTTGTTTTATCAGATTAGGTCGATTTTCTTAAACAACTTTAGCATATCAACTTTCAGTGGGGTCCAGAGATGTCCCGAAGAGTGGGTGTTGGGGGAAGTGGGGGGGGTGTTATGGAAATTGTACGGTTTTCTAGACGCCCGGAAAGAAAACACAGAGAAAATGATTTTTTTTTAATTGTCAACCAGAAATACGGATTTGACACACCAGAGGTATACACACCTTGCAGCAAAACGTTTAATTTTGTCCAATCAAATCCGTCTCAGACTAAAATGGTCACCGCTCCTTGTCTGATTACTTTATGTATATTCATATTAGGTCTGACCAATGAGGAAGCATAATGTTGCCAAAATATTGAATATGCATTATCTATGCTCCAGCTAGTTGTAAGGGAATCTACCTTTTGTATGGCACATGTCGATTGACGTGGTGGTGTGAAATTGGTAATATTTTAGCTGGTTCAATGTATGTCAAATTTTATTTTCTGTTTTAGATTCTTATTTCATATTTATTTAAGTGTTCTGTATTCAGTGCCTAAATTCATGCATAAAATGAGCAGTTAGTATTAGAATAACAGTAGGAATGACAACCATGGAGCTCTGCCATCTGGCCTAGGCCTAGCCTACAATACAAAAACAAACAATTTTGGTCTTCCTCATTTGCTGAAACCCCAGGGGGGAGGGGATCAGCCCCAGCCAGCATGGCAGTGATACAAATACGATGCCAATGCAATGGTCAACCTCTGGATATAGGCCTAGGCTAGAAAAGTCTGACCAGGTAAAAAAATTCAGTTGACATGATAAAATGCGAGAGTGTGGATAATATAATACGCCTTTTTCACGAATCGGTAGACATCTTGTTATATGACGAACAACCCAAGTCAGTGGTGCGTAACCAACAGAAATAAGATAAGCTTTAATTCTAAATTCTTGTCCTCATGTTATCTAAAAATTCATAACTCCATAACGGAGGGTCGTATCACATTTATTTTCTTCTGGAAAATGTTTATACTAGATTATTCTACACCACTATTAGTATATGATTGAAAAAAAAATGAAATGTGGTAGGGGTAGGGAAGCAGCAGCCTAAACGCACGACCTATGCTACATATTTTAATGTATAAATAGGGCCACTTACACAGGTTGGCAAATGTGTAGGCCACAACATTGATTCATATAATTTGATATTTTATTATAAAAAAATATTATAGAAGTTATTTAATCCACCAATCGAATGACAAAATCTAGATTTATATATTTAATGCTTACGGTATACCATGTAGATATTTCTGAACAGAACTGTATGTTGAAAATGTCTCCTTCAAACCTTTAAACAAAATCTAGATTTGTTATTCACAAAAGTGACAATTATTACAGACAGTTTGTACAAAATTATATATATATATATATATATATATATTTTTTTTTTTTTTTTTTTTTTTTTTTTTTTTTTTTTTTTTTTTTTTTTTCCAATTTTAGTGATCTGACATATTTTTCTATAAGCAACATGTTCAAAAACCATATCATCCGAGGGCAACAGTTGATCCGCAAACTGAGCCGTGCTCGGAGCACTATCCCCCAGTGCGCACCGGCAACTACACCTCAGGAAGTATTCGATAGGGAATCCAAATACGGCGCGCACAACTACGGTCCAATACCAGTGGCTATCACTCGTACTAAAGGTAATCAGTCAATCAATCCATCAATAATCAATCAATCAGTCAAAATACCATTTTATTTTGGAAATGGTCTTTGGTGGTTGTGACTGCAGAGTTCTCGATGTCTGTATGTTTTATCCATAAACACGTAATTTTCATGCGTGGACAAAACTAAATTGTTAAGATAGGTAGAATCATGAATGTTAATGGCCTCTCCAGCATCTCTAGACTGCATCTCCAATATCTCAGAACAGATTAAAGTGGCTCAAAATGTTCTAGGTGGCACAGAACTTGTCAGGCACCGTATTAGACCGCTTACAATTTCTTACATTATTTCTTTCATTCTCTCTTTCGATTTTCTTCCCTTTCCTACCATTTCTGTACTATCCTGTATTGTAAACCCTTAAATTGGTTTATAATCAAGTAAAGAATTTGTGTTTAACTTGTGTTGTAAAGCATTTGCAAAAATAGATTTTTCAACCTGTATCTGAAAGTTGATAATACAGTATACCATCATATTTTGTATATAAAAGAATGTCCAATCTTTATTCTTAGGTGTACATGCATGGGACATAGACAACAAGCGTTACTATGACTTCTTGAGTGCTTACGGCGCTGTCAACCAGGGTCACCTACATCCTAAGATCGTAGGAGCCCTGAAGGATCAACTGGACATCATGACGCTGACTTCAAGAGCTTTCTACACGGATGTCTTGGGAGAATATGAAGAGTTTATCACCAAGATGTTCGGCTATGACAAAGTGCTGCCGATGAACACAGGTACAACTTAAAATATCCAGAGCCTTGATTTTATGGTTGGATGATTATGATGATAAGGATTGTATTCTGATGATGGTGATGATCGTATTGTTCATATTTGTAATTAATGATGATGGTTAGTACTGTGATTATATGATCTTGATGTGGATATTTGTGATGATAATGATAGTTGTAATGATGTTGATATTTGTTATAGTGTGATAAGTATAATTTCTTCTTGCCATTGCAAGATGGAAGATAGTATTTGTTTTGTTCATTATTTCCTATCTACTGAATGAATGCATCTTCTCAAAATTTATCTTTCTGTATGGTACCATTAAATATAATACAGGTGTCGAAGGTGGTGAAACAGCTTGTAAACTGGCTAGAAGATGGGGTTATGAGGTGAAGAAAGTACCCAAGAATCAGGCTAGGATCGTGTTTGCAAATGATAACTTCTGGGGAAGAACATTAGCTGCAATCTCATCTTCATCTGACCCTACCTGCTACGAGAACTTTGGACCCTTCATGCCTGGATTTGACATGATACCGTACAATGACCTAGCAGCATTAGAGGCAAGTTTGATACTGTTTCTTCTATAAAATTATTTTCCATTAACTAATTAGTTTTGAAAAATAAATTTAATAGCTAGTCAATGAATTTGTATAGAACGATTGTTTAAAAAATGAGCCAGCCAAAAAATAATTACAATATTTGTGGGAAAGCTGAACTGCTATTTATTTTTTTTAATCCCTACAGAAAGCTTGCCAAAATCCAAACGTTGTCGCTTTCATGGTAGAGCCGCTCCAGGGAGAAGCTGGTGTAATTGTACCGGATCCCGGCTATCTTCAGGGGGTCAGAGACATTTGTACCAGAAACAATGTGAGTAAATCGTAATCAACTTCTTGAATATATAAAACTTAAAACCAACTTCTTTATACCTAACATGAAAAAGATTTCAAAATTTTACTTTATGGTTTATAAAGTTTTTATTTATTATTAATATCTTTTTGCTATTTTTATCTTTATTCTCATAATAATTATTAATGATTTACACGTTTTTCTGTCTCAGGTGTTATTTATTGCTGATGAGGTACAGACTGGTCTGGCCAGGACTGGGAAAATGTTATGTGTTGACCATGAAAATGTACGTCCTGATTTAGTCATTCTCGGTAAAGCATTATCTGGCGGTGTTTATCCCGTAAGTATGTGAACGAATTGGAGTGCCAAAAAATTGTATCATTGTAACTGTCATGAATTCCGAATGACTAAATTTATTTATTCGTATTTAATTCAGTACTGTATATATCATAAGAATTGCATTTATATGCTTGCATTTATTTCGTGTAGGTTTCAGCAATATTAGCAGACGACGAGGTGATGTTGACAATACGTCCTGGAGAGCACGGCTCTACGTATGGAGGCAATCCTCTTGCCTGTAGGGTAGCAATTGCAGCCTTAGAGGTAGGTTATATGTACCTTAGTTTTAATGTATTATAAGCCATAAATGATGTAGTTACGTCTTTTGAATAACCACTGCTCTTGAGTGCTTTCTCAATATGTGCTGGACTGATCCTACAAAAATTGTTTAAATGCCTTGGAGTTTAATGATTCATTTACAGTTTACCAATTCGACATTCTACTCATTATCTTTTTTAAATCGTTTGTAAATTCATCACTTAATATTTTAGTGTTTTTGATTTAAGTTGCTCGTATTCTAAACCACCATTATGTTTTTGATTCAGCCTAATGTTATAGTAATAAAAATTTATTATAATAATTTGATTCAGTTTTCAGCTACAAATATTAAAATGTTGTTCTTGCTTTTTTCTACCATGAGTAACTCATAAACAGTTTAAATTTGCATATGATTTTTTTAAATCAATTTTTATTATTTTGTTTGCAGGTTTTGGTAGAAGAGGATTTGGCAAACAAAGCTGATAAACTAGGAGTGATTCTTCGTGAAGAACTTGGCAAAATGAATAAAGATATTGTGCCAATTGTACGAGGGAAGGGTATGATGAATGCTATAGTCATCAAGGAAACACCTGGTAGGTTAAGAGCAGTGTCATTATACAATACATAAATAGGACTCAGGACTCTCAGCATGTCTAACACACATTTAATTATCAATTAAAATTTACAAAGAAAGAATAAGATATAACATCTTAATAATTACGTTAGAAATTGGGATAAATGGTTTGTCAGTAAAGAATGGCGTCGGTGGAACGCTTTTTAAGAACCATAGCAATGGAGTAGTATCACATGGTATCGTGACATAAACACTGTAGTACTCTATAGTTGTCAATGTGAAAATTGACTTTATGTAACCATTATGCCTGGTATAATAAATGTCCTTCTCTTTCATAGATTATAATGCCTGGAAGGTGTGTCTGAAGCTGCGTGACAATGGTCTCCTAGCAAAACCAACACACGGTGACACCATTCGCTTTACTCCTCCCCTCGTCATCACTGAAGACCAGCTAATGGAGTGTGTTGATATTATCAAGGACACTGTTATGAGTTTCCAGTGAATTGATACTTAAATTATAATACTTTCCAGATATTGCCGTGAGCCATCAAGATTGTCAACAGTTTATTTTTATTAGACTTAAAGCTCTGTTCACACTGTCTTAAAGCTCTGTTCACACTGTCTTAAAGCTCTGTTCACACTGTCCAAATTTGTGTGATGTGCCCATATATGGGCATGATGAGGTCATATTACATACCCAAATATATAGGCATATCATATTTATTTGTCACACAAAATTTGATAGTGTACATCTGGTTGCTCTTTCGAGGTTCTTGTATGGTAAGGGAAAACATTGCAACATTTAGCGAAATGTTTCTTATAGCAGCTGATTCTGTTCTGACAGTTAAGTTTCCAGATTAATTACTGAAATAATTATTTTGTTGGGAAATGTATTTTGTAAATCTTGATTTGGACATGGTAAGATAAAAAATAATTAATAAAATAAATAGGGGAAAGAATGAAATTTGGTTAGAAAAAAACTAGAACAGAATAATCAACTTGCTGTTTTTAAGGTTTGCACTTTAATAATAATAATGTTAATTAAAAGTTTTGATGTAGTAGTTAAAATTATCTCTAATGGACCATAGCTACAATCATTGGTTGGAAAGCCGCTGGAATACCTATGTGTCAAATTGCGAGGAAGGTAATAGAGTGTCAGTCTATCTTATAAGGGCCGACACTACATTGCATGTGTATATTGTTTGCATATACATAAGTCATGTTCTTAAATAATGATATTCCTGGGATTTAATTATTGTAAATGCAAAAGCACTGTGTAAACATAAATCATGTATTTTGATGCTTGTGAAGATTGATAGATACAAAGTATCAAATTAAGGGCATTTGGAAAACTCACTATGTAAAAAATTATTCATTGTGTACAACATATGTTTAAAGAAACCTTTTATTTAATTAAAATTTAAACACAGATTGTTATCCCCTACCCCAATATAGACAACTTTGCAACTCTTTTATGGGCACTGCACCGTATTAATTTTGAAGTTGTGTGCAGATATAAGTGATAAAATCCATACAATAAGCTGGGTTCAATTCAATATTCACTTAATATTAATATTTATATGTATGGTTTATATTACTTATTTAAAATAATTCCTTTTGTGGCATTAAATATTTAATTTACAATTTAACAGTAAAACACTTTTCTGAAACAGTATATTTTCCTGCTACTACAGTAATAAAGATCAGACTATGTATAAAAAGTGTGTACTGTCTGTTGATGGTGTGGTTGTGTAACCCCCAACTATGTTATTTTGTCCTGTAAATTATAAATATACAATATGACAAAAATGTGCATATATATATATATATATACATATACATATATATATATATATACATATACATATATATATATATACATATACATATATATATATACATATATATATATACATATACATATATACATATATATATATACATATACATATACATATATATATATACATATACACATACACATATATATATACATA